TGTGTGTGTGTGCAGGGGCGCTTGTGGAAGGTGGGCTGTCGACTTCCCCCTCATTGCCTGGTAAGGTATTCATTCTCTCAACCTTCCCCACCCCATCCCAGGTTCTTCAGTCTGCCAAGGAACAAATTAAATGGTCATTACTGAAATGAAGGCTGTGGATCAAGGCTACCTGCCCCCCCGATCATTCCCTCAATAGTGGCAAAAACCTAAATGTTCCAGGGGAAAGAGAGACCCTTCTGCATCCCCAGACCCCTCCCAGAACTGACTTCTGAGGTCTCCTGCCAGGGATTCTGAGATGCAAAGGTTTGGTCCCAGCACTGAGTCACCCCTTCTCACCACCCTGGCCTGGCCCTTGGGACATGGGAACCGGCTGAGCTGCCTTAACTCAGATCTTAGGCCTACCTGGCCCGAGGGCCCTAATAAACCTGCTTTGGTCTCCTGCCAAGGGTCTCCTCTCTTGGCCTGGGAAGTGTGTGTGTTCAGATAAGGGCTCCTGCACTTCCTGCGGCTCATCAATCAGGACCAAGCTGGGCATATGTATGCCTGTGGCTGGACGACTGGGGAGAGGGATGGGTTACGGGAAAGGAGACTATTTAACACAGAGACGGGGTGTAACAGTCATACCACGGGGTACCATATGTGGGGAGGGCTGTGTATGATTGTGTGACAGACATGATAAAAAGTAACAATGGGAAGAATGGCGCACACTTCCGGAAAAGGGAGAGCAAAGATGGTACCCCTGTTTTTTGTATGCATGGTGGCCCCGCTGATTCCTGGAGTCATTTTTTCCATTCCTCGCCTCCAAAAGGGAAGGGAGTAAGTCTTCCTCTGGACAAACTGAGGAACAGTATGGCTGTTTTTCTTGGCATGCCTGGGACTGTGGCATTCCTATCCCGGCATGGACTCTGGGCACTAGAGCTCTGCAAGTATGCGGTGGCTGGGCCCGGACGCTGGGGGCGAGGAAGCATCGGCCAACTCCCACCGTGTATGTGTGTCCAGAGCACGCAGTGAGCTCCAGAGGGTGTGAAGAACTGCAGGTCGGGAGGGAGAGAAGGGCGAAGGGGGATCCCAGGGGCAAACGGGAGGGTTGGAGATGTATAGTTTTTCTGAATGACGCGACTTCCCTTCTCTGTCCCCGTCCCCATCCCAGAACTTCCAGTTTCTCCCTCCTTCTCCGACGCGTACACTTTCTGCGTCTCTGAATGTACGTCCCCGAGCCCGTCTACCGATGCGTCCTGCGACAGCTAGTTTCCCTCAGTCCCTTGTGGACTGCAGCCGCCGGCTCACGCCCCGCCCAGGTCCCGCCCCTCGCGGGCGCCGACACCGTGGGAAGCCCCGCTCCGGGACGGCATCCGCGATCCTCTAGCGCCACCTGGAGGGAAAGGCAGGAAACGCGTCCCCGCTGGGTCAGCTCTCCCGACTAACTCCGCCCCCAGGGCCGGACCGACCCCGGCTCCGGGGTGTTCCTCGTTGGTTTCCAACACCGACGACAGGGTGTTTGCCCTAGCAACCAGCACGCCTGACCCACAGTGCGAGTTCCGCGCCAGCTTGGGCACAGGAATTCCCGCCAGCCGCTACAGTAAGAAAGCGGAGATCTCTTCTTGTTCATAGAGGCTGTCCCTGCGGTTATCACGTCCTCCATTATAAAAACTCTTTAAGGTTGGATATTTATAATGGGCTTGACTAATTCTGTAATTCGAGAAAATGACAAAGATATAGTTATGTAAACGTATACATTGTAAACGCTGTGTACATAACCAATTCCAGTAAATAACGCAAAAGAAAACTCTGAAAGGGAAAAAAGAGTATGCAATTAAGTACTGTGGAGTTCAGGGGCCACTGTGGCCACGGGAGAGGAGAAATTCTCCAGAAATACTTTGGCAAATATGTGGCCACACCCATGGCTTGGCTCCAACCACCGCCCTGAACGACCGCAAGGACGGGAGCGGCAACTTCGCTTCCTAGCAACCCAGTCGCTCCCGCCCGGGCCCTGCGATTCCAGAAAGGTGTCCTCGCCCGCTGTGGCCAAAGGACTGTGAGGAGACGGGCCGCTGCAAAGAGGCCTGCGCAGAACCGCCGGGGGACCCCAAGTTTGCAGGCCCGGCCTCCTGGGGGCGGAGGCGGAGACCTCGCTGGGGCTGGAGGGTCGTCGGCCGCTGCCTCCCCGGCTCCCTCTCG